GCGGTCGGCGGCGCGGGCCGCGACCTCTGAGTGGATAGCACGAAGTAGAATCGGTTCCATACCAGCGTCCTTGCAAGCCCTGTTAAAGACTGCAGCACTGACGAGTGCAATGTCGACCTCGGGAGTTTCCAGTTGAGCAGCGAATTGAGAGACCGTAGGGTAAGAATAGATGGGTTCAAAGGGGAATTTAGACGAAAGGGGCTTGGCCCGTAACGTCCAAGAGCGGGAGCGAGGGCGAGAGCAAGGTGAGTCCCCAGAAGGGGTCTCCAGAATTGTCGGTGAAACCAATGGCGAAGGTTCCGGTAGCGGAACAGCGACCTTTGCATCAACGGTGTTGATAGCAGAAGGCACAGACGTCTGTGGAGAATCAAAGTGTGAAGTGTTACGGAACGTAATGTTTCGAGATGCCCAGTCAATCAACGGATTGTAGCGGGATAAGAAACTGTAACCTAATACTGCTTTACAAGATGAATCTAAATGAGTAACATAAAATGGTAATAGAAGCAGCTCGCCGGAAGGGAACCGAACGGCAATATTCGCCATATCGGTAATGGGTTTAGAAGATAATGAACCATCAAAAAGACGAAGATTAACAGGAGAGATTTTGGTCGTAGGAATAGAATTTTGAGAAACATAACGAGTATCGATGAAAGAGTCAGTAGAACCAGAATCAACAAGAGTAGGAAATTTGAGAAGAGCAGAGATAGGTTCGGCCGGCGCGGCCGAATCAGATAAAGGAAATTCAGTAGTCAAAGATATTACAAGAGATCGTTCAATGGATGAAAGAGCGGACACGTTGAGATATAACTCCCCAGGTGAGGTACGAACCTGATCAATGCAGCTCCCGTTTCGTACCGGGGAACAAGAGCTGCGGACTAGTTTTCCAATTCCTCTTCAACAACCTCAATGGTTGCTTCGGGGGTTTCTTCAACCTCGGCAGCATGGCCCTTCGATTCTCAGGCCTTTCGCTTATTGCAGTCAGCAATCTGATGCTTACCACTGCAGAAGAGACAAAGATTGTTCTTCATCCTTCTTTCCTTCTCGGAGGGAAGGACTTTCCCATCTGCACCAAGATGGTTGAATGCGGGATGCTGACCGCCGGGTTGGCCGGAATTCGAAGAGTTCTGGGGCTTACCATTGTTGTTAGGCTTTCCACCAGAGAAGGGTTTAGGCTTCGGCGTGAACGGCACCGAAGAGCCAGATGGCTGAGAGTTGTTTTGCTGGTTAGTAGAACCAGTCTTAAAGTCCGAGGAACCCTTCTTCGGGTTCCGAGCAACAAAAGGCTTACCAGCCTCACACTTTCTAGTTTCTTCGCGCTTCCAATAATGATTGTCAATACGAAGAACTTCTTGACAATAATCGGCGAGCGTCGCCGGCTCGGGCAAACGCGCCATTTCGTCCTTGATGCGCTCAGCTAAGCCTCATCCATAAGCCCATTTCAGGGCAGCAGAATCCCAGTTGGTACTAGCAGCCAGGGTGTTGAACCGGATGTTGTATTTCTGGATGTTCTCGGTTTCCTTCATCTTTAGGTTACCGAGAGAATCTTCGGCCTCGCCTTGGGCGTCGTAAACGCCGAAATTGTCCTGTAGCTCCTTTACAAGGGCCTTGAAGGAGGATGTCCAGGCCGGCAGCGAGTCGAGATCCGGGTCGAGGATATCAGGGACAAACCATTCTTTGGCTGACCCACTGAGATAGGAAAGGGTGTAATTCACCTTCCGTTGGTCAGTGAAATACTTTGGACGGTCATTGAAGACCAGGGCGAGATTGACGAAGAACGTCTTGAGTTTTCGGGGATCCGAACCGTCGAATACCTCTGGCTCCTTGACCTTGCTCTTGGATTCAGAGCTGTCAGAAGGACGGCCGAGAGCGGCGAGAATGGTACCAAGGGTCTCAATGGAGCCCTTGAATCCCGAGAGGAGTTCCAACATAGCACGTTGCTCGTTGGGGATGTCAGGAGAGATAGGGGAATGGGGTCCACCAGGTCCACCAGGACCACTGGGGTCACCAGGCTTACCACGCGGTAAACCGCCGGAATCGTCATCCAGGTCGTCATGATTGTTGTCGGCGCCCGGATCGTCAGGGTCGACAGGAGGGTCTTGATCGTCGTGATCACCAGTGTCCAAATCGAAGTGAGGAGGTGGGTCATGAGGAGATTCTGAAGCAGCACGACGTTGGGGTTGTTTCCCAGTACGACGGGCTATAGCTTGGAGGATTGGAGATTCAATTCGAGTAGTTGACCGGCCCCGAGCCGGAGCGACCACGGGGGGTTGTCCACGGCGAGGGGTCAGGACTTAGACAGGTTGTCCGTCACCAGTGTACAAGGTGCTGTACTCAAATTGTTGTTCTTCTTCCATGGCTTCAGGAAGAGTCGACGTAGTAGGAACTGTGGCTGGACCAAAACCGCGATTACGGCGACGTGGTTGACCGATGGCAGAGATAGATTCGGAGAATGGGGCAAATGATTGGGCTGTAGTGAAGAAAGTGTTTTCTTCGGAGTTAGCTCTAGATTGAGCTCGAGTTTTCGGAGGCATAAAAAATGATAGGTCAGTACGACATTAACGGATTGAGTTTAATTATACTGTTAAGATCATGTACACTGTGTAACCATGCCAAAGCCACAAGGTGTCTAAGTGCGGAAGACGAGTGGGACAGTAGTGAAGTTATTAACAACACCGCCGTTACGCCGTTAGTCCCTGGAGATTGAGAGTAGAGAAGGGAGAAACTGAGGAGCAGCCAAGTCGGAGCGGCGGTATCGCCGGTGACGAGGAGCGAACCAGAGAACGTCTAAGTTCTAAGGTTATAGTAGAGAGTATTCCAAGGCGATGAGCCTGAAGACTTAGAGAAGAGTGAGAGTTGAGAAGGGAGATCTAAGTTGATCTAAGTTGATAATTAAACTGAGGAACTACAGTAGCGTACAGGCAGTATTTATATCTACGGAGCGGCGCATCGGTGCGGAGCGCCAGGCTAACTACTAGGAGCTATACGAGTAGTACCTGCAGGGTAAAGTAAAAGACAATAAGAAGGGACTAGAACGAAAGGGTATGTGTAGCGAGAAAGAACAATAAGAGTAAGATTACAATAAAAAGTGGATCTTCGGAGTACCGAGCGGCGGAATGGAGGCCCGAGGCATGGACTTGACAATTAGCAACACCCTTCACACACTGTTGGTGTTCCCGGTAATATAATGGCAAGGATATAATGTCAAGATGAGCAGCCTAGTGGGGTTCCTGTGATCTGGGAGTCCGGAACAGCTCAGAAGCAAAGGTATTAAAGAGTGGGATAAGGTGGTACACTTGATTTCAAGCTTGACTACAACGTACAAAGTATTCTAGCTTATATACATCCCAAATACAGTCACAAGGTCTCGATGAAAGCTCAGAATAATAAATAAATGGAATGTAGGTTACAATATTAATCCGAAGTCCGGCCGCTCCGGGCCAGGCCGGGAAGCGTATGGGGGTGAATTGCATGCATATGACAGTTTTACTCTTCATGTAGGTACACCTGCATGCTCCAGTCTATGCACTGCACCCTTTTTCCTCCAGCTTGTCTTTCTGAATTGACATTGAGGTGCACCTTCTACATTATCAGTGTTCAGCTTTCTCACTTCTCTGCATGATACTCACTGTTCCTACTCCTCCATAGGAACTCCAAAGCATATTAATCATTTTATCCATGCTAATTCTCCATACCCCTCTGCTGCCACCCACCTCCATCTCATTATTCATGTACCCTCTGTGGCCACCCAAAATTGTGTTGTTTTGCTACCCTTTGAACATCATGTCCCTTATCCCATTGTCATTGATGCTTTCTTCAGATGCTGTTCCTGTGGCTCCCAAATATGCACCATTTGCAGTCAAAATTTCTGGGTATCATTCTTCAATGTTCAATACCTCCCTGCAATGATAACCTTTCCCCCAAGACACTCCTTCTCTTATGTGCCCTGCAACTTCCCCTCCAAAATTTTCTTCCATTGAATTCAATACTCCTCTCAACACACAGGTCCATATATAATACCTCCACTGCATGTGCAAAGACAGTTTTTGAGAATGGAAGACAAGGCATTGAATACATTGGATTGTGGCTAGCATTGCAGTGGACTGTGGGACACATTCACTGATGCAGGTACTGGCAGACATTTGTGGTCAAAATACATTGTCAGAGATGGTGGACTGGGCAAAGAAGTAGAGAGGTTGGTGTTGGAACAGCAGAACACCATGTCAAAACTGTAAATGCCTGCAATACAATGTATGTACTGATTATCATGCTACATTGTATCTGTAGTACTTGCAATAAAATTATTATCTTCATGTAATGAAAAGCATCCAGTACCAAGCAGGGTGCCATCCACGGCAGTGGAGCCTAGTGTTTATGCCAATTACACAATTTGGAACTTGCTGATGTCCCTCAACAGCAATACACAAGGATTTTTTCCTCAAGCCATGGTATTCATCAGTCAGCAGGGCACACAGTAAAGTTCTAGCTAAACAGGTGAAAATTGAGGAAGATATCCATGTCACCTTGCTTGCAAAGGTCATTTGTTACTCGATATTATTAGCGCTGCGGAAACTTTACCCACGGTTTCGGCGCTTGTTTCTAATTCTAACCTGTCGTTTTTGTCCTGTTTAACCACATGTCTACCGTACCAGTGTCCCTCCACTGTTGTGTGCAGCGTGCTCAGGTAGGTCGGCAGGTATTCACTTCCTGTTCAAATAACAACTCCAGCCGTTTCTTGTCCTGTTCCCACTCTGCCTCCTTTATATATCTACCACAAGTTCAGTGTATGATGTATGGCTGAAATCGGTTGACAGATATTCATGCCAGGGCACAAGCCGCCTTTGTACCTGTTGAGTACCACCAACCACCTTCACATCAAATAACAAATCCAGCTTTTCTACCGCCCTGTTCTTACTTCGCCTCCTCCATGTCCTTATCACAAGTTGCTGACTGACATTTGAACATATCGTTTACACACAGAGTTTCTGCCTCTGTTTCATCTCAGATTCCATGTGCGATGTTGCGCCGTTAGCCTTTACTTTGTGCCGCACCCGCGACCACCCCTTTATTCTGCTTGACCTGTTTCCAGCTACTTAATGTTGGATTCAGCCGCGCAACAGGGCTCTGAGTTCCTCAGTAACGGGTTGAAGCCTATGGCAGGTACAACAGCCACAGTTGCAAAGGTTGCTTCTTTCACATTTGGGGAGGAGGAACATCCATTGGAAGGTATGTGTAGCTGATATATGTGATTGTACATTGACGACTTTCTGCTTGCAAGCAGAGTCAGTTAATGCCAATGGTAAACAGCGTTCAAGTGCACCAAATGCGAAAGCAGGGCCTTCCAAGGTGGCTAGGACCACCGGGTTGGCCAAAGACTGAAGGCCACGTACAGTTGTCTGTTTTTATTGTTTATGTATGTTCGTTTTGGTTCAACTCCTTGTAGTCAGGCTGTATTGTTTTACAACAGCTTCGATAAGATATGTATCTGTATGTATTGAGCTTGCTGCTTCACTGCAGAGAGGGGCAATTTGCATGTGACTTACCAGAACACCTCAAGCAAGGTTTGTGTCCCCTGCGGGGGCAACTAGTTAGAAGATCGGTCGTTCATATTGCACGAAAATTTGGCACGAGGCGGCAAATTTCCACCCACGCCTTCGGTACTGCAATCAGCTGTGAATTCCGGTATCCGGTTCTTGCGTATAGTTGGTTGCATCGTAGAACAAGTTCGAGGAGCCTAGATATGTGATCAGGCTGCGGTCCCAGAATTTCACGCTCGGGTAGAACGAGCATCGATGGTGGCAGTTCAGATATTTTAGCGCTGAGAAGATAAACTGTATTATATCGAATATAACGACCATCCAGTAGTAATGATGTTCGCTTGCCCCGACCTTTATTGATCTGATATCCGCCATGGTTTCCTATTCACCACTATTCTCATCTTCACCTGCTCGCTGGAAGCAACTGGTGCTTTCCAAAAGAATAACAATTGCCTCAGTATTGCTCGTAAGTTCTTCGAGGTACATAAAACTAATCTCACCAACACTATTTTCTCTAGCTCTTCTCTCTACTCGCCCTCTCCGAAGTCTTCCTCGAACGTGGAATAAGCACTCGTATCTTGTCTTCTCTCTCATTTAACGCAAAATCCTCGGACCAATCACCACTTTCATGCTCGAATCCTTTCGACCCTTCCTCGTTTCCGCACCACACTCCCCGGCCAACTTACACGCGCAAAGCAAACGCTACTTTCCTTACTCTGGCCCGGAATAGCGACTTGGCTGGTGTAATACATAGTATGAAACAGGTCGAGGGGAGATTCAATCGGGATAGACATTATCCTTGGGTTTTTTTGAACGACGAGCCTTTCACAGAGGAATTCATCAGGTACGGCTTTGTGTTGCGTATCATTGCTGTGCCGTTGCTCATACCACGCCCAATGTAACACTTAGATGCACCTCTGCAGTAACTTCTGCTAAAACACACTATGGCCAAATTCCACGCGAGCAATGGGTACAGCCAGATTTCATAGACGAGGAGAAGGCCACGAAGGCGAGGAAAGCATTGTCGAAGATGAGGGGGGTTTTTTATGCTGGTCTGTTCAACCGCATCTTCTGCGTGATATTCGTTATGCTAATAAATGATTGAAGAGAGTGTATCGTATGTACCTCTATCTAACGCGTCCTCAGGGCCCCGCGCATCTATACCAGGCTGATATGAAAATTCCAGATATCGCAACATGTGTCGTTTCTATTCTGGATTCTTCTACAAACAACCCTTGCTCCAAGATTTCAAGTATTACTGGCGCGTAGAGTGAGCTTTTCATTGGATTTTTTCCTTGCTTGATTGACAACCGGGGAACATAGGCCAGACATTAACTACCGCTGCGAAATAGAGTACGACCCGTTCTTATATATGGAGGATAATGATAAGGCTTACGGTTAGCCTCTTGATGAAGTTTCACTGGAATCCGCGCAAATCAGTTCTACATTTCCACGTTCTATAGGCTTCACCATATCCGTACCAGAACAAAAAGAAACCACACCTACATTATGGGATACGTCAATGGGTTCGGTTGAATCTGTAATTTGGCCTTCACTTCTTTGACCTTTTCGACGACAGAGTTTTTTAATCAAAACCCACAATACCTCCACCCTAATAACGCTATGCGCTTCGCGTCAAAGGATGGAGGGATGACGTGGACGAGATGTACTTGTGCGTGAATATAACTGTTGAAAGATAGGTGTTAATCACTTTTACTATGTCGTCCTGTAGATTGGACCAACTTCGAAATCGGCGATCTTGACTTTTTCCGTGGATCAGAGGGATACACCAAATACTTTGAACATCTTGAAGCTGCAGGAGGGTTTTATTATGAGGTGTGTTGGAATTCTTCATAATGGCACCTGCTAACCATTTTCATTATCCCCACAGCGCTGGGGTGACGCTCCCATGCACGGTATTGCCATCTCCCTCCTCCTCGACCGGGACCGCATACACCATTTTGACGACATCGCATACGAACATACCGGCTGGGAACAGTGTCCGAATCCGGTATCCCCTGCGTATGAACGGGGGAGGTGTGATTGTGATTACGGCAATTCGATGGATGTTAAGTGGAAGAGGTCAGCTTGACTGTTCATGACAACGATTCAATCCTAAGTTTTCGTCTGCCATTAGGTATTCATGCCAGGCAGATTTCGATGCTGCGTTGGCTGTTCCTCGAATCCATGCTGCCTAATTTTCAGGAGATGAAAGTTAAATTATTGACGGTCATGGCTGGAAGCGATATACATATACGTACATCTTGATTGGTTTCTGTGAAGTTTGGAGTAAAACTGTCACCTCCTCAACACAGGACGTCAGTGTCATATTTTATAGCATTTCTGTATATTTATGTGCCGATACGAGACTAATTGACATACACAACGGGAGTAGCCAGGCTACAGTCGATTATCCGAATGCGCTGGTCGGCCATCGGGAGTCGGGAGTCGGCGTGAACGTGAAAAAATCACGAACACAACGATGACTCACTCCTCTACATCTTTGCACTGCCCAGATGGGACTTGTAATTGATGCATATGATACCTCTGTGATTCCCTTTCTTTAATAAGAACTCGCAGAGAAAATCCTTGAAATTAGAAGACATCGGGGTCACAAATCAAAACTCCTTCAGGTAGATCCCCATGAATCATCTATCAGTTATGTCCTTGTAAAGCTCACCGTAAGAACACTTCAGAATCATCATGACCGTTACTATTCGTGAAGCCCAGGAATCTGACGCAGATGCCGTTTCCAGAATTTGTCTACTCACTGCCAAAGGAGGTCAATCTGCGGACGATCTCCACGATTTCAAAGAACTTCCAGGCCTGACTTACGCCGTCCCCTACGTCAAACTTCCCACCACTCTCGGCTTCGTATTGATCGACGATAAGAACTCTGGATCCGGAGAAGGAGACGTCGTCGGGTACACACTAGCCTCTAGAAACTCTCGGGAATTCGACCGCTACGCGGCGGAACACTGGTGGCCCATCCTGGCTGAGAAATACCCCCCTTCATTGGCCCAGAAACCGGCCGACAAAGAGTTCATGGAGCTTTTCCGTAATATGCACGGGAAATCGGAAGCAAGGGTGTCTTTCGGTGCTGCAAATATGCATATAAATCTACTCGAGCCCTATCAGCGGCAAGGGTGGGGCAGCAAACTCGTTGGTAGAATGGTAGAAGCTTTGCGTAAAGAGGATCCGGATGGTGGTGTTACACTCGGAATGGACCCAAGGAATCTAGCGGTGAGGAGATTCTATGAGAAATTCGGGTTCGAGTCGTTTGAAGGCGGAAAATTCAATGAGTTGGGATTGAAGTTTTCCAAGGCAAAGGTAACGTAGAGAATCTATTTAACGCTTTTACTGTTCAGTTGTTTCAGCGCCTTGGCTAACTATATTTTTGTTACAGAACTTGGCTATTTAATATGAGTCTGAAGCACATCAATAGTTGTAGAACATCGAGGCTCAATATAGTATTCCAGTCCCCACCTCCATGAGACTCCATGGCGAAGATTCAAAGTGCTGTAAAGCAGTTGTCCCCAATCGGAAGGCTACCATACAGTAAATCTCCACAAACGAGATACGATTCCGAGTCCGTTCACACATAATCCCCCTCGCAGACTCCAGGATCGGTTGCTCACAAGCGCATCAGGATTGTATTCGACTCGAACCAGTCACTGGTGCTGAGATGTGATGTGCGGAATCACTTTGCTTTGCTGAGACCCCTGAGCGCCAGTTTTCAAAGTGTAACATCAATTATCTTTCATTCCCGGGAGAGGGACCCTATACCGACGAAATTTATCATTTCCAGGCAGGTCATCTCACATACTTACATCTCACCACCGATAGCCTCGGTCAACAGTCATTTAGTGATAAGATTGCGATGACTAACAAACGTTTCTCGTGGAAAGAATTGGAATTTGGAAGTACTTACAAGGGTTTGTAAGTATGTACCAGGTATGTACAGTTTCGTCCGCCAAGAATTTTCACGAAATCTGTGCTTGAGCCAACACCTGTTGAGCTTCGCACAGGATTGGACACAATAGACAGACTGAGGACTCCAAACCACTACAGTTAAGTTATCCATATCTGGTGTGCCAAGCGTGCAGTGCCATCAGACGATCGCAATTCATACATTCGCCTTACCGTTACGGTTTAGTATGCTCTAACTTCAGCAGTGCCTCAACGTCAAGTGTCAGCGACGAGGTACTACCCAAATGATGATTCAAATCTAGTTTGAATGTGCAAGTACAGTACCAAAGCCTAAAGGTCTTCAAGGGCCACCAAACGGATTGGACACTAAGTATACCACAATACATATATCATTCCGGTATCGATTCAATCATCAGGTGCCTCATTGTTCTGTTCTCGCAAGCGCGCAAAAGCGTACATAGAGGTACACATAGAATGTTATGATGATATATATGAAGAGACTAATGTTCGTTCAATCACAGCATTTACCCTCCTCTTTCCCCCCTCTTTCCGTCCCACTTCGCATTTCCCTGTGAATCAACCCCATGCAAACACCTCGTATGCGCAACCTACTTCGTCTCAAGTTCGTCTCAAAGCCGAAGGCGGACACGATTCGTCGAAGTGCCAATTCCGTCGATACGCTGGGATGGCTTATCGATATCGCAGACATAATACAAAGCGCCTCCGCAGCGGCTCCCTTCCCACAAATACAAGGGGCGGTGGCAGCTCTGTCTGTCCTCCTCAAATGTATCCAGGTATAAGTCCTTCCATCCTTCATCGAGCATTCGAAACTTACGGAATATCCAGAAAGTATACCAGAACAATGAAGAATATGATGAACTGCTTGCTCGTATCAAGTCCATTTTGGAAGTGATACGGAAAGTAGTTAATGAAGCAGATAAGACGATGTGTGGTCGTATGAGTGATATCTTGATGGAATTCGAATCGTGTGTCGTGTTTCTCTCGTTCCATATTCATTGAAACCCTTTGACTGAATTTCCCTGTCTAATGCCAGATCGTTGCGCGATATAGTTCGCACGATAAATAGCCAACGGCAGCGTAACGACAAGTGGATCAAGCAGTTGCTTCACTCGCATAGTGTGAGCGACTCGATCCTCCGGCTCAAAATAAAGTTTGACGATGCTCGACTGAATGTTCTGGTATCTATATTGTCTTGAGTTTGTTGAAACATCTAATAGCTGACGCCGTGGATTTAGGTGACCGCCACTTTTGTCCATCACTCAAGTATGAAAGAGCAAGTTTCAAAGCTAGATCAAAAGCTTGAAGAAGGAATAGCTTCCCAAGCCTCAGTAGCTGTTGAAACTAAATCTACTCTATCCAGACTCCAACAACAATCACAAGCACTACACACAGAAACTCAGGCTCAGTCATTTTTGATCAGCAAGAACCAGACCGATTTGATGGCAGCCTTTACCATGCAAAGTCAGCACATCAGAGACGGTCTTCACGCACAAGACAAGCTCGCACTACAGCACCACCTGCAGACAACCGGCGACTTTAGAAATCATCAAGCCTGGCTACAGACTACCTTGCAGGACCAGAATCAGCTTGTTATTCGGCAACACGATGAGGTTTTGAACGCAGTTAAGCGGACGATGCCTTCACCTCTTTCATCGCCGAATAATGTAGATGAGTTTGAGGAATACGAAGACAACGTACGTGTTTCAATGGGTTTAATATTGATCCACCGCTCAATGTTTGTCCGATCAGTTCCACGTTTTTAAACAGAGTGAATGGAAGCCGAAACAGATACTGCTTTCAAGTGACGAGGAAGAGGGATCATGGATGAGTCCGGATTCCCAAGTTCTGGTCATTGATCAAGCATCTGTTGTTCGTAACGTCCGATACAGAGTGCGGACGTTCAAAGCTGCCGCTAATGATAAGCCCGAACAGAAGGGTGCTGCGTTCGAGGTACAGCTTTTCTTCTTCTCCCTGACATTGTGATCAACTTTCCATTTTAGGCATTCAAGAATCATCTACAATTTTATTCCACCGCACGGTAAAAGCTTCACATGTTGATGCCCTAGGAAAATACTAACGCTCCTTTTTTCGAGTAAGGCTGCCTTTTCTCCCTGAGTTGGTAGGGTTTAGTAAATTTAAACATGGCCCGTCACTATTTTTCGAAGAACGTGAGTTCATTTCCATTAACACCTTGCATTTGTTGTTCAAGGAAAGTTCCAAGACGACGAAGAATACGTTCCGTGGCCCGATTATCAACCTGAAAATGAACTTGCCAGGACGCTTATATTATTCAAAGTGGTACGTTGTCCGTATCTTATTTACTTGTTCCATGTTGGTAAAGTTTATACAGAATCTTGTTGAAGAGGACGCAAGAAAATATATGGCAAGACACATGGGAATGCACCCTGCTCGCAACAAAGAGGGTAACAGGGTAAGTAAGAGACATCGGGATTGTCATATTTGAACTCAGAGGTCTTTCATAGATTGCAGAATCTGTTCTCATTGGGCCGGGCGGGAAAGTAAAGCTCCTTGGTTGGACTTCTGTCACTCGCCCCAGAGTCAATTTTACTTCTGCTGCTGTCTCTCTCAAACTCATCGACCAAGATTTAAACCTGGTTGCCGCAAGGCTCAAGCGGTTGGAAAACCGCCAGCAGGTCTTGAGGGACTTTGTTGCGTCCGGGGCAGCCTTTCTCAAAATCAAACGGCGTCGGGTCTCTGAAGATCCTTTGACTGATTATCATTCCCATCTTGGGTTCCTTTACTGTACTTGCTGCTCTGGGCCTCTGTCTGTACGAGCCAGGTGGACACCGCACATTCATTTTACTGTCACTGCAACTTACGAAGACGAAACATCAACTGCAACGGCCCTTGACATCACAATGAAACCGAAATCGCACCGTTTGCATTGCGCAAAGGTCTCCATCAATCCTGGAATCACATTGATATCGAGTATACTCTTTCCACAAAGCTATGAACCGGTAGATATCTCTATCATGTATCATGCATCTGCAAATCCTCATCACATCAGTTTTGAGCATCGTGAGTGATATGTGATATTGGGCACATACGTCCATAGCTCTAACTAATGATTTGATTTTTATAGTTTCCGAATACAGTAACCGGTACAACATACAATATTACCCAAACTTGAATAACGATGAAAACACAGCCCAACTTTATCTGCTTATTCATCCTGGCTTAAATCAGTATGGGAAACCATTCTTTGAAGTACATTTCCAATTCGAAGGACAGAATGGAATGTCCGTCTCAGAAGCGGAGGCGAAGGGCATCTTCGTCGAACAGCAGTCAGAACAATGCCTATTCCGCGATTTCTCTGCCGGACAAGAGCATTTTCCGCTCCTATGTGAACACATGGAATTGGATCCCTTCAAAGAGTATTACCCACAGGCCCTCGAGGAGCAGGGAGTTTCAGCATTTGATGACCACCATCCTGACTTGGAATTACGTAAAGAAGATCAGGAATACGGACACCCATCACATCCAACAGCTCAAGGTATGTCCCGAGCAAATCCTTGCATTGTGGCTTAACTAATTCTGGTTAAATCAAGATGAATCTACAGCTTACTATTTCACCAAATAAAAATCTATTCACATCTGTTTTGAACTCGGGGGTGGTCAGCCTGCATTATGTCGTCTGGATGCTTATGTTCCTCGCAGCTTTCTAATCTCTACAGCATGTAGTTTGAAGATGACAGATGGCCCATTCGATTCTTCTAGGAAATCCCCTGTGACGTCTTTAGGAGTTACTTTGGATTCGGAGAGAGCTATCTATTCTGGCGCTATTTTGCAATGAATCAGAAGGGAAACAGGAGAAGGCTTGAAGACCTCACTAAGGGGGCTGAGCCTCGTGCTTGCCTGGGGTTGAGATATACTTATCATTGACATGCCACTGTGGTAGCCAGTGATTACCTGTTCTGGAAGAGCCAAAGTGGAGAGGGATATCCAGGGGATATCAGAGGACTAGTCCTTCGCCTGGATAGCTACCATGTTGTTTTGTTGGAGCTCTTTAAATATTTTCCTCCAATAATCAGTTCATGTAGTAATGTGGTGTCGTCGATGATCTCGTCCCGCCAGAAACCTACAGGAGTCCATCCTTCCGTGCTTCCTCCGAACCTTCGAGCATAATGTCGTCGGGGTTTTTACTCGGGGGGTTTATCTTCAGAAGCATCTCCGGTTCGGCTCGAGTCTGGTCAAGAAAGGTCGAGAAGAGGTAATTCTCACCCATCCATACTCGGCTCCGCTCAGACTATGCCGTGTATTTCTGTATTTCATTTGCCTCCTTTCTTTGAGCTACTGTTTCTGTCTAGCTACATAGTACACGTACGGCCAAGAATGAGATTACCAGCCGTAAACATCATCGTCGCTTTCATCAGTGCCGTTTTGATGAAAGTACTTGAGAGTAATGCCGTCGAATCGGCAATGCAATTCAAGTCAATCAAAGAGCCAAAGTGGAGCGCCGCTCATGACGGACGAATGAGTTTGTCGGGGAGCTCTTCAACTTATGTTACTGTCTCAATGGCTCGAACCAATCTCCGTATAGGCACCTAAAAATATGCCTTATTGAATGTTTTTCTCAAACTGCGGGTTCAACTTAGACTGCCCCGATTCCTACATACTGGCTTCAAGCCTGAGTGCAACCTTGCAGGGTTTCATTTTCTTCGGCTTGTAAGAATTGTTGTCCCTGCAGTCACCCAGCTTACTGTCAGCTCCACTATTTCCAATCATTGCCGACATAAAAATAGATCAACCACTCTTTATTTTTATCCACTTGATCAACAAGATCAACTGTCAATTGGTGTGCCACACGGAATACGCGCCTAGCTACATTCTCGATTGTTCAAAACCAAATTGACTTTCGGCTTATCCTTTTACACCCCCCCCAACCTGCCTCCTCCCATCTATCCTGCATTGCTTTCCAATACGTCTGTTTTTTAGTCTCTCTTTATTATAATGCGCCTTCCAGTCTTTTCTCCTAAATTCACTGCCATTGCGGCTTTGGTGGGTTTGATCAACTTCAACTCCGTTCATGCGAGGACAGCTACAAGCGAGGGAGATGAGGCTCAAATAACAGGTGCGTAATGTTTTCTGAATGTTCTTTCGCTCATGTTGACTTGGGGAAAAATAGATCCTGTCGAAGAGTGCACAGCGTACTACTATGCTCCGGTCACCGACGCCCTATACGGATTCCCCACCATATGGCAACCTGCCTCAATTCTCTCAAATGACACTGAGGCTTTAAACACTTGGGCTAACATTTCACAATCAGTTCCAACAAACATATACCCTCATGTCTGTGCATTCTTGTGTAACACTTATCGGGGGGGTTTCTAAGTGAAGATTTTTTAGGGCGATATTTACGGAGACTGGAATGATACATCCTACAACGTCGCCTCAGATCCCGACTGCTGGTGGACAAAAAGTCTATGCACTACTCCTAAACTCTCCAGTCTACCTTCAGACATAGCCAGCATTCCCGAGGTATGTTCGTACACCCCGGCACAAGCCACTGCGCCAGCGGTCAGATTTATGACTCTTTGTTCCGCAGCCTGAGACTATGGGCTACGGTTTCGATGATGGCCCAAATTGTTCTCACAACGCGTTCTACGACTACCTTTCAGAACAGAACCAAAAAGCTAGTGGGTAACATTTAAAGTTGTGACGTTTCCACACCTATTCATCCCGTTTTCAGCCATGTTCTTCATTGGAAGCAACGTTCTCGACTGGCCTTACGAAGCTATGCGAGCTATCGATGAAGGTCCGTTGTTCCACATTCCATTCTCAAATAAGCCGTTCTAACCGCTATTACAGGTCACGAAATCTGTGCACGTAAGTTGGGTTTTCGGGTCTTCCTTTACTCTCTAGATATTGACTTCTAATGTTCCCGAAGACACCTGGTCACATCATTACAGTGAGTGCATCGTTCTTTTTTCCTATCGTGAAAACTAATTTCGCCTAGTGACCGGATTCTCTAGCGAAGATGCTTTTGCTGAACTTTACTACAGTGCGTCGTTTTTTGACTGTTTTGCACAACACTAACGCGTTGAAAATTCAGGCGTTCGTATGATCAGTTACGCTTTTTCAATTTTTTCGATTGCTAAACCAGAATTCTGTACACAGATAAAGGCAATTAAACTTGTCCTCGGTGTCACTCCAACTTGCTGGAGGGTAAGCTCCGCTGAATTACTGAAGTCCTTAGGGCATTATATTCATCGAACTTCTTAATTAGCCTCCCTTTGGAGATGTTGACGACCGCATTCGTGCAATTGCCGAAGGTCTTGGGTTACAGACAATCATCTGGCAGTATGATTCGTTTGATTGGGAAGAACAGTCGGGAAATATTACCGCAGCGCAGGTCTACGCGAACTACGACAACTTCATTGCAAAGGCCGGGAATGGCACTTTCGATAGCGTATGGCTGTCCCATTTTCTTTGCTGTGTAACACCTCACGTTGTCTCTAGGAAGGATCTATCATGCTGACCCACGAACTGAACAATTTCACTATGCAAACTGCTGTCACATACTATCCCAAGTTAAAGGATGCCTTCAAATATCTTGTGCCTGTTGGTGTTGCGCTGAATAAGACCCAGCCATACGTGGAGACCAATTATTCGCTCCCGACTTTCAGTGAATGTGTGTTGTGTTTTTTTTTGTCCATGTGTTGTTCGAATTTCATGATCCTTGTCCAGATGTCGCGGGAACCACTACCACCAACTCATCTGGATCATCGAATTCTACTACAAGTTCAGGCTCAAGTACTAGCCAATCATCCAGTGCTACTGCGGCGCTGAGTCACACCATGGACTCTACACTTTTTGCTATGATTTTCCTCGGAATTTTTGTGCTTGCAGTATAGGACCCCTTGCATTGAAGACATATCTTTACGATCTCCGTTGTCCTCTTGATTACCTGCATTTTGACATTGTGTTCTTCTGTCTATAACGCTTTATGATATCCAGCTTTTGTGCCTTTTAATCCTTTAACAGTGCGTCAACTTCTATCTTTCTCGTACTGGTCTGGCGTCGTTTCGCTTTGGACAATCTATATAGACGGATTTGTTTCAAATCTGCTTGCCTCAAGGAAGGTTGCGGATGCCCTGGGGGTCCACTTCGCAATGCAAATATTATTTCTTACTTTATAGTAATTTGTGTTTGTCCAACAAAGTGATTGTTAACGCGGTAGGTCCCTCTGCATACTAATGTAAGTATCCCTGCCTTATGTTGAAGGGAGTTAGATATTGGCAGAGGTACACAACAACGTGAATATTGTCCTACACATCAAAATGGAACGTTTAGGCATGCCCTTGCTTCCACATATAGATACAACAGTAAGGACTGGTACAGTGTAACATGCTAGATATGTACAACTCTCTGCTTAATTACTCAGCTTCTTCAGGAGTTTGGCCTGGCATAAAAAAGGTTATCAGCAATTTGCGATATAGAGAAATACGACATTCTTACATTGACAGCATCCATATACACATCCGTTATGACCCAATGTTCCCTCTTCATATCCTTTCCATGAATCGCCAATGCCAAATCTTTCGTCATCACACCGTCCTCATCGATGACCTCCACACAAGACTTCTCCAGTTTTTCACAAAAGGCCTTCAGTTTGTCGTTCCCGTCAAGCTTAGCTCGATGCAGCAGACCCCTTGTCCAAGCAAAGATTGATGCGACAGGGTTCGTGGATGTCTCATTGCCTTTCTGCCACTCACGATAGTGACGGGTTACAGTTCCGTGTGCAGCCTCAGACTCGACAACTAACCCATCAGGGGTTATCAACTCTGAAGTCATCATTCCAAGAGAACCAAATCCTTGTGCGAGGATATCAGATTGGACGTCACCGTCGTAGTTTTTGCATGCCCAGACAAAACCACCAGACGACTTGATGACTTGGGCAACCATATCATCGATCAAACGATGCTCATAGTAGATACCAGCAGCCTCAAAGCTAGACTTGTATTGCCTAAAACATAACACAAGTTAGCAAAGAAAACGCGAGAATGAAGTTACTCACGACTCATAGATTTCCTGGAAAATGTCTTTGAAACGACCGTCATACTTCTTCATGATGGTGTTTTTAGTGGACATGAATAATGGCATTTTTTTCGATAATGCCATTTTGAAGGATGAGTGAGCAAAACCTTGGATTGACTGAAGAGAAATCAGCCATCGACAACACTTTCTCAGCGGCGTACTCGTACCTCATCTGTGTTGTACATGCTCATAGCGACACCTGGACCTTTGAAGTCGTACACATCAAGGGTAGTCGCTTTTGCACCATCCGCGGGAGTGTAGATCAATTGCAACTTTCCAGGACCAGGAGCAACAAAGTCGGTTGAACGATACTGATCACCAAAGGCATGTCGGCCAATGACAATGGGCTTCACCCAACCCGGAACGGGTCGAGGAATACGTGTGAGGATAATAGGCTCGCGGAAAACCGTTCCGCCAATTAAGTTACGGATCTAGGCAGTGAGAGGGATGAGTGAGAATTTTGAGTATGGAAAGACGGATCGGAGAATAATTGAGCGCACAGTTCCATTCGGACTCTTCCACATCTCTTTGAGATTAAACTCTTTGACACGAGCTTCGTCCGGTGTAATTGTCGCGCACTTGATTCCCACACCGTACTTCATGATGGCCTCGGCGGAGTCAACGGTAACCTGGTCGTTGGTCTGCAGAGAGCCATGAGGGGCAGCTATTTCTATAAACGCGTTCTGCGTACCTGGTCGCGGTATTCTAAGCCAAGGTCATAGTATTTGATGTCGAGTTGAAGATACGGAAGAACGAGCTACCAATCGCTTGTCAAATGACTGTGAACGTTAACAGCATTAATTGTTGGCTCACCTCTTCGCGAATCTTTTTCCAAATGATTCTGGTCATCTCATCTCCATCCAGTTCAACCACCGGGTTATCCACAACAATTTTCTGGAAGCCAGCTTCTATTGAAGGAATTAGACTCGTTCCCGAATACAGTTGATAATACAAAACGCACGTAGTCTGACAGAAGAAGTGAACGTTCGTTTTGACAACGGAGTAAGGGAGCTTCTAAGAAGGTGTCCCGATAAGAGGCCGAGTCTTTGTGCTGCTGCCATCCCTAGTAGTGGTCGAAGCCTCTGTAAACAACCTGCTTATGAGTGCCGACGTTTGAAGAAGTAACGTATGGCCACACCAAGTAAGCGGATTTCGGCCGAAAGATTATTCAAGTCTTTCACTCTCGAGGGGACGGAAAAAAAGAAAGCCGAAAGAAATGCAGTCTGACTCTAAGTGACGGTTGACGTGGATGATTCACGCAGCTTATCCCGGTAACAGTCTCTTTATACGTTTCACCTTCGATAAGTAGCGCGGCCATGCAATCTACAAGTATAGCAAGCCATCTGCCTCTAGAACCACATACAGTATGATAGATGATGCCGGATGATAGCTCCTTGTTGCCTAGTTATTTAAGTATGTATTCGGGGCAGTAATCTGAGGGTCAGCAGGACCCAGAACATGTGTGGTCGCGATGTTATGCCGAGCCATGCTATATATGTCATTGTCTGGCAATGAATGGGAGGGTTGGCCCAGGAATGGCGAGAAAAGCAACTCCTCGGTTGATTTCGGCCCTCGACTTTTCGATGCTGACCATTTTTGCTGTACTATTCTACCGCTGCGATGGCTAGATGCTCTGCATAGACACATATGTGTACTTTGGGTAACAATAATACTGCAGCGGGTTTAATTCCGTCCATGATACGCTGCAATAGCCATACCTCCAACTGTCAGGTCATCAAAGTTTCCTACGATAGCTCAAATCCCTGATACCCGTTATCTGCGGCCTCTGCGCACTTCTCAAGATACAAGGGTAATCCTCCAGAGAAGGCCAACATTTCAACGGGTCTCGTATTAGTAGACGCGAGGTTGCTTCCAGTGTACCAAGAACTTTCACATTTATGCCATAGTCTTTTCGATGCGATTTCGAGGATGAGATAGCGCCAAGCTTCTTCTGCATCTCGCTTGGTTTCAATACGAGTGTAATCGTTGTCTTGCAAGAACTTGAGGCAATCGGTGATCCAATCGCTTTGTCGAGGCTGTTGAAAAACATTGAGAATTGAACTGTAACAGCAGGCATATCGCTTACAATGACACTAGTAGAATTGGCTAGCACAGACGGGGCTTGGGGCCCATAAACAAAGAATAGATTCGGAAAATCCGAGGTCGTCATCCCAATATTAGTGAAGACCCCATTTTTCCATTTTTTCCCGATAGAGACGTCGTTGCAGCCACGTATATTGATATCAATGATAGCACTAGTAAAGCTATCGAACCCTGTGGCAAGGACGAGAATGTCAAACGTGTGGATGGTACCGCCTCGAACTGCAAGTCCGTTTGGCGTGACTTGCTCTATAGGAGTCTCCTTCACGTCGACGAGCGACACATTTTCTCGGTCAAAGACTTCAAAGTAGCCTTGTTCCAGGCCAGGTTGCTTTATCCCAAAAGGATGGGGAGGAATGATAGGCGCCAGTTTTTCGTGCAAAGCGGGATTCCGAATACGCGCTCTAACCTTCGATCTCCAGAAAGCGTAAGCTTCCCGGTTCACTGTTTCGTCAGAGAAGATATCTGGATAGTTTCCTAGCCAAAAGTGGAATCCACCAGCTTTCCATTGGCTTTCCCAAAGTAACCTTTGCGCTTCCGTTGTGGCGGAAGTGAAAGGGATAGGTTGAAACTCATACAAAAAACCAGCAAAAGTCTGAGGTAGTCGACGGAAGATATGATTATAGAGATCCATTTCTTTCATTTTGACTTGCTCCTTCTCATCGAATCGGCTTTGGTTTATTGGTAAAGCCAAATTGGGAGTGCGTTGAAAAACTGTGAGGTGGCGGACTTGGGAAGCAATGTTCTCAATGACTTGAATCCCACTGGAACCAGTGCCGATAACGGCGACGTGTTTTCCCGTCAAATCAAGGCCCTCCTGAGGCCAATGAGAGGAATGAAAACAACGTCCTTCAAAGGTTGAGAGATCTTTGATATTCGGAATGAGGGGTTTACTTAGACTTCCCGTGCACAGAATGAGAAATCGCGCGCGAACGAAGAGTCCACTTGCAGTCGAAACGTTCCAGAGATGTGAAGGCTCATCCCATTTTGCGCCTGTAACTCGCGTATTAAAGTAGATGTCGCGTTTGAGATCGAGTTTATGGTCGACATAACGGAAGTATGCCTGAATTTCCTCCCCCGAGGGGTACTTGTCCTTCCATGTCCAATCCTTCCACACCTCTTCCAAATCGTACTGATATATCACTGCCTCACAATCAGTGCGAACTCCTGGATATCGGTTTATATGCCAGGTGCCACCGATACCAGAGGCAGCTTCGAAAATCTTCACAGAAAGTCCGAGGGCACGAAGGCGATAGAGCAGGTAAAGACCAGCAAATCCTGCGCCTACGACAAGTGCATCTATACAATCAAAAGATGCAGGAGTATGACCTGACATACTGATAGAGATGGGAGGGAATTTGTGTGTGTGTAAGGTGGACTTTGGGATTCTTAAAGTACTTGAAGCGAGTAAAAATAAGTCTAGTGAGTCATGAGTGACATTGGTGACATCGATACGGAGACGAACAATGGAAAGTACCGAATGACGAACGTCGAGCCGGGTACTTGGGGGGGTTATAGTACACGTATGTATAGCGCGTGGAGTAAAACATATCTACACGACAGAACGTCGAGAGATGCTGAGTAGGTAGATTTTTGGCGGGTAAAGTCTCCGAGTTGATTGCAGTTGAACAGCACTCTGTGGTGAAGGAATTCCTGGATTCGCTGAGTGCTATGCAGGTGAGGTCTCTGGGTCACCCGGCCCACCAATACGCGAAGGACGATTGGTCAAGTATTTCGACTGTTGACCAATGAAGGCATGAGGGAATAAAAGCGCGCGCCGCTTGATAAGTTGTTTGAGTCTCTTCATTGGACCAGTATTGAAGCATGGCAATAAAGAAGGGGTTTTGCGAGCAAAAAACCAGTGACAAGCCTTCAATTTCGTAAACCCTTATCCACAAATCCCAGCACCCATCCATTTCACGAGTACCACCTCCAGATACTTGAAGAGATATCGCATAGATATTATCATGAGGTCTACGTCGTTCGAGGCTAAGTACTTATAGACGGTGTTTGAGACGTTGCGTTACGTGTATCACGACAAATGATGTTGTAAAAACAGAAAATGTCGCGCTACAAAATTTAATCACTTACGTAATTATATCTTGAGGTTAAAAAGCTATCGATCTTGCTTTCACACCACCTTCATCTTCCCTCATCCTTTCATCTTTTCTTTCTTTCTGACATTATGGTTGCGTCCAGTGTTCTTGGTTTCCCCCGTATTGGTGGGTTTCGTCAATGAATGACAATTCTGTTGCTGATGAGTTTTTGTTCAGGTCCGAATCGTGAGATCAAAAAAGTCGTTGAGGCCTACTGGGCTGGCAAGACCAACGCCGAGGAGGTCACCAAGGTCGCCGCGGAGGTCAAAAAGCTCAACTGGACTGAACTTCAACAACGTGGTGTTACTTACATCCCGAGGTGCGATGATTGAGTCGATTATCGTTATCTCATCATCTTTCAATTTTTTCAGCGGTGACTTTTCGCTCTACGATCATGTTCTTGATCACTCTGCAGCATTCAATGCTATCCCCAAAAGGTATCATGGCCTGGGTTTGTCCCCTCTCGACACCTACTTCGCTATGGCGCGTGGACGTCAGGCCGATGGGGTCGATGTACCTGCCGGTGAGATGAAGAAGTGGTAAGTCTATTAGCTTACATACAGTTCAATTTCGCTAAAGATTATTTGAAGGTTCGACTCCAACTACCATTTCCTTGTGCCCGAGCTCGATGACGCTGTTGAATTTAAGCTCAACTTCAACAAACCTCTCGAAGAATTCAACGAGGCTAAGGCCCTTGGCATCACCACTCGTCCCGTCGTCCTTGGTCCCATCACCTATCTTGCTCTCTCCAAGGCTACCAAGGAAGCGAAGGCTGACTTCGAGCCCATCTCCTTACTCCCTAAAATCCTCCCTGTGTACAAACAGCTTTTGAGCGAGCTGAAAGCTGCTGGTGCCGAGTGGGTTCAAATTGACGAGCCCATTCTCGTCACTGATAAGGGTGCCAACTTTGAATCACAGTATGGTTCTGCGTACCCTGAGCTTGTCGCCGTTGCGCCCAAACTCCTTCTTACCACCTTTTATGGCCGTCTCGAATCCAATGTGAACTTCATTGCTAAACTCCCTATTGCTGGCCTCCACATCGATCTCGACCGTGCTCCTGAGCAGCTCGAGAAGGCCATCAACGCCGTCAGTTCGACTCCGATTGTCCTGTCACTTGGTGTTGTATCTGGTCGTAGCGTTTGGAAAACTGATTTCTCAGCTGCTATCAAGCTGGCTGAGAAAGCTATTTCCGCTCTAGGTGAAGACCGTGTCATCGTCGCTACTGCTTCCACTGTCCTTCACATCCCGGTAACTCTTGCTTCTGAGAAAAAACTCACTGAGGAGCAAAAGGATTGGTTTTCCTTTGCGCTTGAGAAGGCTTCCGAGGTCGCTACTATTGCAGCCGTTGTCTCAGGATCTCAGGATGCTGCGGTCGCCGCTGCTCTGGAAGCCAATCGCACTTCCATTGCCAAGCGTCGTGACTTCGAGAAGAACTCCGATGACTCTGTTCGCAAGCGGGTCGCCTCTATCACCCCTGACCAGTACGAACGGAAGAGTCCCTTCGCTGTTCGTCTTGAAGCACAAAAGGTCCTCAATCTTCCCAAATTCCCTACCACCACCATCGGTTCTTTCCCGGTAAGGATTGTTTTTCAATCGTCGCGTTTGTCTCTTATCTTTCTCTGTAGCAAACTAAGGAAATTCGTCAAGCTCGCGCCAAGCTCGGCAAGGGTGAAATCTCTGAGGAAGAATACGAAGAGTTCATCAAGAAGGAAATTGAATCTGCCGTTCGCTTCCAAGAGAAAATTGGTCTTGACCTTCTTGTCCATGGTGAGCCTGAGCGCAATGACATGGTGCAATACTTTGGAGAGCGTCTTTCCGGCTTTGTATTCACTCAAAATGCCTGGGTCCAGTCTTATGGTTCCCGGTATGTTCACATCCATCACGATTAAAGCTTCTTAATCAACTCCGTTTCAGTTATGTTCGTCCTCCGATCATCGTCTCGGACGTTAGCCGAAAGGAGCCTATGACTGTCCGCTGGAGTCAGTATGCTCAAAGCCTTACTAGTAAACCCATGAAGGGTATGTTGACTGGACCAGTCACTATCTTGAATTGGTCCTTCCCACGTGTCGATATCTCTCGTGAGCTTCAGGCTCAGCAGCTTGCTCTTGCTCTTCGTGATGAGGTTTGCGACCTCGAAGCTGCAGGCATCAAGGCTATTCAAGTCGACGAGCCAGCTCTACGTGAGGGCGTGAGTGTTCTTTCTGACAAGTTATCCTTGTTGAAGACTAAACCATGCCATTAGCTTCCTTTACGTCGTGCTGACTGGGATTCTTACTTGAACTGGGCCGGAAACACCTTCAAGCTTTCGACTGCTGGTGTTGGCGATCATACCCAGACCCATTCTCACTTCTGTTACTCCGACTTTGATGACATTTTCCCTCAAATTCAACGTCTCGATGCTGATGTTATTTCTATTGAGGCGTCTAAGAGTGACATGAAGCTCATCAACACCTTCAAGCACTACGGCTACTCCAACAACATTGGTCCCGGCGTTTATGATGTCCACTCCCCTCGTGTTCCCGGAGATGTCGAAATTCAGGAGCGTATCAAGGCCATGCTTGCCTATCTTGACCAGTCTCTTCTCTACGTCAACCCAGTAAGCATTCTATTTCTTGTTCGACAATACATGTAGGTTAACCTTCTTTCTTAAGGACTGTGGATTGAAAACCCGTGGCTGGAAGGAAACCGAGGCTTCTCTCGTTAGCCTCGTTCAAGCCGCCCGCTGGGCTCGGGAGAATTATGTTTAAACGATCAAACTCCGCGCTTCAACAGCGCCCGCAGATCCGTTAACTTATAGCTGGAGAATTGTCTTGCTTGTTGACGTGTACTTGTGGGTGGATATTTCATTGGGCATTGCTTTTTGCTAAGCTGAGTATGATGATGCTCCTTTGGATGTGTACTTGAGTACGTTGGGTTTTCGAAGTGACTGTTTGTACTTCGACATATTCAGGGCATGTCGCGAGGGGGTTTTATGATGAATTTGTTGCTGGGGAGAAAAGTATATAAGTATGCAGTTCGTCGGATTTCAACAATCCTTGTGTATTTTTTGTTGTTCATTGTATCGCTAAACATCGTTGCATCGTGAGGTAATGAAATGCTCACATTTTGCTCCTCGTTGGACTCGCTGTCCCAAGTTCGCAACTGTTCCAGACCATATTCATGGTTAAATTTTTTCCGACCAGCGTGGAAAGTCTCAATAGTTTTCCTTTTTCTTTCAATGACAGCAGTGTACCCGGGTGTGCCTCTTCATTGAGATTCGGCAATATCATCTGCAGGGCTCTGCTGGGTTCTGCAGGGTCTTTCAGAGATGATTTCTGACGATTCGGACAAAATCCGACGCCTCCTACGGACTTCCCACTTTCTATTCTAGGCTGATGAAGCCAGTGAAGGCTCGCCGAAAGGTCAAACACCACTTGTACAAGCTTGTACAAAGCTTGATGCATTGTCTAGCGACCAATCTCTGACCAACTGTACATTCCTTGTTTCCGCCGAAGGATTGACCAAGATGCGCCTGTTCCGATCTCAGTCCGATCCTCTTCGTCCCTACATCAAGCCGCGCGACTAAATTACTGAAGATTGAGATAAAGACGCACGCCGTCCAGAAAAGAATCTCAAGATTTCGGATGATTCTTTTTAATAAGAGTCAAGATCACAAGGATGATAGTACTATCATTCAACCCAGTTTTGTTGCTTCATGTAAATAGTGATGGTTCAGTGGGTGCAGCCCAGCTCGACGACGAACCGTAGTGCGTACACTCATCTTGGCGACTGCGGTAGTACTGACCGAGCAAACAAACACCAGTTGTCACCACCATTCTCCTTGGCATAGCTCAAATTTTGACACTCTTCAGGATTAATATCCGCAGGCGAGCTAATCGTCTGTGGTGGGACGATGCATGGGCTCTTTTGACTATGTTTCTTTCTCAACTTCTGCTCATTGCTATGTGGATACGGACTGATACTCCCGGTGCGTAGTTGACTTGATCAATTAGGAAACCAGTGTACCACAGATTTGACTCGTAAATGACAGGTCTTGGACCTCTCGACGAATCCCATTCTGCTCGCATCGTGGCATATTGGTTAGTACTAGAAACATTGCGTATGATTGATTCTGCTAAAACTATTGTCTTCAAAGGCTTGTCTCAATTTCATTCACATGTACGCTGTGGTAAGTGTAGGGTTTACTAGATTGTATCAAGCTGATGAGCAATGAACGGGGATGAACAGGTCTGCCCGGATAAGTTTGATCTTCTCCGTGATTCGACTTATTCCCCCACTATTCGTGTTACGAAGGGTTTCTGAGTGGATGGCGGTCATTTTTTTTCTCATGTGGGCTGGCTCCCTCATTCAAAAAACATACATCTGTGCTTCGGATCGTTCTTGGTACCAATTGTCAGCTCCACAATGTCATCTTGGCCCGGACGTCGCAATCGTCGAGCTCGTTAGTAGGTGTCCAATCGTCCTTCATAAACTCTCAACTGATTTCATTATGTTACAGCCGATCTCTTTGCAGATGTGGTTCTCGCGGTTATCCCGATTCGTTTGCTGGCAGGTGTCGGTCTTTCACCTGACAAGCGGAGGTACAAAATCATGGAGTGAACACTCCTAAACGTACTGAAGCTTTTATTTCAGAATGCTATACATGATGTTCTGCGCGAGTTTACTCACGAGCATGGTCTCCATTATTCATGCTGTCTTTCTTCTTGGTCCCTCAGGTCTCCTTGAAGCAATCACCGCTCAAGCTGAAGTAGGCCTCTAATTTACATTCCGTCTTACCACCCACACTGAATAGACGTTGCCAGGCTGGCACTGCGCTAATGGTAGCAAATGTTGGAGTTTTGTCTCCCTATGTGTATCGGTTGATGAAGAACGGGCAAGACTTCGACAGCCAACCGTACACGTATTACCCCAGTTTCCATTCCAACGGGGAGGTGCACATGCGAAGAATACCTCGCACCCCAAGCCGGACGGCAGCCTCCAGCGTCCGATTCCATTCTGAGACGCAGGCTGATTCCTTATTAGTGTCGGCAATGGAGCTTCAAGTACCCGAAAAGGCTAAGACGGAGCCTTCATTGGCAGTGACACTGGAATCGGATTTCGAAACACAGAAGTCAGTCGTTGTCTATCCAACTTCTAGTCCTACGATCTGGCATTTATCCGGTTCGTCGATGGGTTGAGTGAACGACCGCCACGCCCTTCTACGTTATAGATATGTATGTACCCCCGCCCGATGAAATTATGAATTCAACTTGGCACCGAGCGTCTCCTGAGGATGATTCAATAAACGTTTGGCAAATTAGTATGAGGTCCATGTGTTACTGGGTATATCTATGTAACTAGGCTCCACTATCGTGGACTGCACCTTGCTTGGGAAAGGATACATTTCACTTAAGTTGATACTGAAACTGGTATGGCAGGAACTAGGGAATGATGCAGGATTTATGTATTCTGAATGTCTTTGTCAAAGTGTAGATTTTAGTTCAAGTATCAAGCAAAAGACAGTGCACATAAGGTGCACTGCAGAATATATGCACTTCAAAAGCCTTGTTAATTCGAGTGGAAATAACGCGGCGCAGCACACAAGGTGCGCCGCAAAGCGCAGAGTTCACTTCAATTGAAGCCCAAGATGTTTGTAAATGTTTTGCAAAAGTATGAGGCCAAGCACAGCCAAAATGTGCCTGCACAAAAGTACTTAAATTCCGCAGTGCAATAGACCTTGCAAGCAAGGTGACATGAGGTGACATGCAACAGGCCAGCAGTGCTCAAATATTGGGCCACATACTATTCATTTGCTAAATACAGTAAATGAGTTTTCTATATGCTGTATGTACTATTAGTAGTCAGTCGAGATATTGAGATAACAAGAGTAACGTTCGTCTGCTGGACCTTGCCATCCGACTTCAGAAAAATAAAATGTTCTTCAGTAAGGGATATGCCTATAGCAAGAACGAAGATACTAACCACACATCCAGCAATCAAGTAATTTGAAGGGATCACTGTAACCAAAGTTCAGCACACCATTCTCATGACAAGGATGTAGATTCGTTTACTATTTATTCTTCAGTTCAAGCAGAGCGGGATAGTTGTCACCCCAAAAGGTTACTGAACGCATATAAGCAGTGACTTGAAGGAAGACGGACATCTAATGACTCTACCTTCGTGGTCAGGTTCATAGGGATTCGCTTCGTTCTAGCAAAAAATAGTTGGTTAGCTATCTGCATGAAGGTGAACGGACTATACATACAAAGTATGCCCCAGAGTCCGGCGCAAGCTCTCTCATCCAGGACGTAATGTTGTTGACAATCTCATACTGGGCATACATTGTCTCGAGCGTCGCATTGTAAAGCATATTTTCATGAAAACCAATCTGTCCGGATTTGGATCAGTAGTTATTTTGGGGCCATATATGTACTAATAGACTGACCTGCCAGAGGGAATTCCGCCACGCCGGAGTGACGCTCGTTGTACCCTCGGTATAGTTGTACAAGAAGGGTGTTCCTTGAATAATATACGGATTAACAGCATAAGTGTCCACCATTTTGACCATGAGGTCGACCAACGCTTCTTTGCCATCGTCGTCAGTAAAGAAGGGGTCAGTTGGAATAAGACGGCTTCCAAGGATTGTCTGAACACCAACACTCTGGGAAGGCAGCATTCGGATGATGTTTTGGTAAGATAAAGCATATGTGAGAAATGGATCACCCACCGCTTCAGCCGATTCAACATATTTAGCGAAAAATGTTTGCCACGAAGCTAGATCTTCGACTACCGCCGTTCCATTCTGAGCCAAAGCGTAGTCCACAATAGGTTGAACAGAGGCTTGTGCTTCTTCCAGGGTTAACAGTGGGTTAACGTTAATGAGGCTCGCAGGGCCCATATGGCCACCCCATCCCTCTTGTCCCCATTTGTATGAATTATTCACCAGTAGTTCGAGAAATCCCCGTGCGTTATCCGCGGTCTGATTGAACGATATTGCAGCCCTTTGAATGAGTAAGAATCAGTCTTGGCCTCGAACATGGATCAGAAGGTCAAAGTAAATACGTACACTCGCAAACTCATTTGGGGCTCAACCAGCATTGTCGATTCGAGCACTACACCGAATGTCGATCCAGCACCTCCTCGCAGCGCCCAGAACAGATCTGAGTTTTGGAACTTGTTGACAGTCCTCAAAACGCCGTCCAAAGTGACGATCTTGTATTGAAGCTACACTGCAGTGAGCAGGCTATAGAAATCCATCAAATAAACTGTACTCGCCACACGATCAACACCAAGCCCATAGATGGGCGAAAGTATGCTATGTCCTCCTGCCTGGACCCAACCCCCACTTGCGGCAATTGTTTGGTGGTACCCACCGACGACAGTAATATTGTTCTCCTCTGCAAAGGCATATACGTCTTCGAATGGAACTCCTGCCTGCAAATGATACATGAATGCAAAGATTGCACGATGAAATACATAGGACAAACCCCAATGGTGATTGCGGGGTAAGTTTCATTCCCTCCTTCAGGAAGAAAAACGGCGGAATAATTCAGCTGCGGGATACAACATCTTGAGAAGACGATTCAATCAAGATAGTCAAATGAAATACAGACTGAGTCTAAATTCCTGGTCTACAAGTTCCGGTGTAAGTGGAATAGTGTTACAGATGCACGAAAATTATGAGCCCACCCAGAGGGACAATGAACCGAAACTGGAGCGACCTTTATAGTCATGACCAGAAGCCTTTATTGAGAACTGTATACCGGTTTCATTGACAAACGATAGCGCTGCAAGAACATCGTCCTCGCTTCGGACATCAATCTACATAAACAAGATCAGAATAAAAATGATTGAGGAGCTGGTAAATCAAAGATGTGCATGTTGACCCACATAACGAGAGGCGATAGCTCCTTGCCAGCATTCGTTGTCTTCCCAAGCTGTGGGGTCGCTAGGATCATTCGAGTTCAACAGACATCGTTGAACGGTTGACTGGCAGGTTTCCCATTGCGGCTGCAGGAACATCTGATTAGTCCGCATTTGTCATCTGAAGCCAAAGAAGTTACCAGCATGTGGGCGCTGTAGTGGGTAGAGCGAAAGTCCGGTTGAGTATACCCTTGCTGCACCATTGCACATTCCGTCGCGTTAGGTGTTGACGGTGACCCATTCACTGTAGAGAAGCATGACGCCGCGAGAGGGAGTGAGGTGTAAAGGCGACCACCAACGGTCTGATTAAGTTCAGCCCATTGTGCATCACTGGGAATAACTGAAGCAGCGACGCGTCGAAGGAGGAGACCCTGTATAGCGATCCCAAGAAAAAACATTTTGCTGTCGCAAAACTGGAAGGGATAGTTGCTAAATGACGAAAGGGGGCTCTTGAACAAGCGGTATAGAAATGTAAGGCTTAAGTACCCTGTAGCGACCAGGGAGCGGAATATCTCGAAAACCAAGGGCCACAAGGACGCGCGATATCGCACAGGATCGGAAACATTAGGCCGCGGTGAAGTAGGGTCAGCTTGTGCCTGGTAACTCGTGAGATATTACAGGCTCAGGAGGGCTCAGGGTTTTATGGGTTCTGCCTGATATACATATATAGCTGAAAGTTCGGTTTTGTGGAGAAAATGTATTCAATTTAATTGTCAGGAAGAGAATTGAAAAATGCCTCCGAATACCGAGGCATGTGACTAGTACCAAAGATTTCGTTGGCGCCTGTAGCAGTAGCGCAGTAGCACCCTGTAGCACCCGGGCCATACTTCCGCGCTCGCTTCAAAACACACTTTCCGGTCCCCCGTCTACATTGAGAGTCAATCTCCAAATTCCCCTGTGCTTCCGAGTGACGATTGGCTTCCTGTGATACATTGTTAGTTTCCAGTTCCTTTGTGTGAGCATGGAAATAACACGTAGCACAATAGTCCCAGGTGTCTTTGTAACACAGGGTCGTGTAACCTAGCACTGGAGCCAGCGACATTGGTAGCAGTGTGTCATTCTATCACAACAGTGCCAATACAAATGCTACTACCAATACCCATCTTCGCTCTCCTTTCGGTGTCGTGGACAGTATCTGCGTCTGTTCGACGTGCATACGATACTCACGACTACTACGCCCTCGAAACTGACTTGGAACCAGAATCCTTCTCAACTGAGCTTGGCGTAGAAATTGTTGAGCAGGTTGGAGAGTTGGCAGGTTTTTGGCTTGTTAGGGCTGAGAAGAATCTGCAGAGAGGACTAGAGGATGATCCCATTCTAGCACGATATAATGCTATACAACCAAGTTCAATAAAATCTTTGACCCTCCAAACCCTTCGACAACGCAGTAAACGTGCGCCGCCATCTCCCTCTGAACTCGCCTCTAAAATGGGTATCCAGGACCCACTCTTCCCTGAACAATGGCATATCCTCAACCCAGAGTCCCCAGAACATATGATGAATGTCACTGGTCTATGGGAAGAAGGCTACACTGGCGTCGGCGTAATATCTAGTTTGATTGACGACGGTTTGGATTACACATCTGAAGATCTCGCGGCCAATTTTGATGCTGTTCATTCACACGACTACAATGACCACGAAGACTTACCGACACCAAAGCTTCCTGAAGATACTCATGGCACTCGGTGTGCCGGCCAAATAGCTGCGGTGAAAAACGGCGTTTGTGGTTTGGGTCTTGCCTACAACTCTCGTGTTGCAGCCGTCCGAATTCTTTCCGGGACCATAACCGATGTAGACGAAGCCGCAGCTCTCAATCAAGGCTTCGACGAGGTTAGCATCTACTCTTGTTCTTGGGGTCCCCCGGACGATGGACGCACGATGGACGGTCCAGACTATCTCATCCAAAAGGCTATTGTTAATGGCGTCAATCGCGGCCGACAGGGAAAAGGAAGTATATTTGTCTTTGCAAGTGGGAACGGCAAAGGGAGTGGGGATGAGTGTAACTATGATGGGTATACGAACAGTATATGGAGTGTCACCGTTGGCGCTGCGGATTGGACCGGACGGAGTCCATACTACAGTGAAGCATGTGCCGCCAACATGATTGTCGCATATAGCTCCGGGAATGGAAAGAGCATTGTTACGACAGACAAAGGAAAGAATCAATGCAGTCGCGGTCACGGTGGAACATCTGCTGCGGCGCCCAACGTTGTTGGCGTGATTGCACTTGCCCTCCAAGCCAGACCCGAGCTCAGTTGGCGAGATATTCAACACCTCTGTGTACGCACTGCGATACCTATCAATTACGATCCATCAAGTACCCTTCCGTCTTCTCCCTCTGACACAGATTATGAACTTACAGCCGCACATCGACCATTTTCTTATGCTTTCGGATACGGTGCAATTGACGCCTACACCTTTGTTCACGCCGCTCTCAAATGGGATCTTGTTCCCCGCCAAACTTGGATTCGGACACGGACCGTAGTGTTAGGTGACGGTAAAATGACAAAGGACAAAGTTTTTAGTGGGGGGATACCATTTGGGCAATCCAAGAACGGCGGGGAAGTAAGCGTGAGCAGTACGCTGGAGGTCACCGAGAAGATGATGAGCCGCGCTCTATTATCACCTCAGGGCCTTGAACATGTAAATGTGAGAGTATGGATCGATCATCAGCGAAGGGGAGATGTCCGCGTCGAAATTGTCTCGCCAAACGGCATCAAGAGCATTTTGGCGGGTGTTAGTAGTGGTGGTGAAGGAGGAAGAAAATACGATAAAGCCAAAACTGGGTTTCCTGGCTGGCTCTTCATGAGTGTCAAACACTGGGATGAGAACCCCCTCGGGACATGGACCATCACAGTGTCGGATTCTGTGAATACCGATTTCACAGGGAGATTTTTAGGATGGAATATGGTTTTGTGGGGATCAAGCACAGATACCAAGACTTCTGCGCAAGAAGACAAAAACAAGTACGAAATACTGATGGAAGGCGATGATGTATTCCCTCCTCCCCATGGCAATAGCGACGAGGATGAGGACGGGAACGTGACTATTACGGTTACTGCCACAGAAACGTTGGCAGGGTCAGCCACTAGAATTTACACCAAACCTACACATTTCCTGAGCACGGATGTGTTGGAGGTTACAGGTATCAATGACGATGTAGAAGCTTCTCCTACATCCACATCAACGTCCGCTTCATCCTCCCCGTCATCATCATCCAGTCTTGGGAAGATTTTTTCCTCCCAAAGACCCATTTTCGCAATCTTCGAACTTATTTTCCTTATTGCTGTCGGTGTGGTTTTGTATGTGTTTTTGTGGCGTCGGAGAAAACAAGGATCGAGTGCGGACTACGAAGCGCTTGCAGGTCAGAATGTAGCGATGAGTCGGATACCGGGAGATCGGGACAGGAGTGGTAGACCTGGCGGTCGGGGAGAAATGTATGAAGCTTTCGATGGAGGAGAGGATGAGGGTGAGGATGATGAGGATGAGGAAGCGGGAGTTGATCAGCCTATGCTCCCACGCAGTGCCCGTACGCCTCGTGAGGATCCTTCGTCAGCGGCAATAGGACAGTCAAGGTATCGAGATCAACCTTCGGAATCGGATATACCTGGTAAAACACAGGAAAGTATGAGGATACTTCCAAAGGATGATGACAGCGGGAGTAGTGGAAGCTGGGAACATACATAATAGCTGTACATTGTAATTCTATTGCTCTTAGTATTCTTGCTGTTTGCTGCCTTTCGAACAACCGCCAATATGGCTGTACAAGTGATTTTCGTTCCCTTTCCTACAACATTCCCTTTCGAGCCTGGGGAAACCTTGTGTCCGTATATTCAAGGCACCTGTATAAGCCTGCCACCGAAGGAATTTTCATCGGGAATTCAGATGAATTACTACATAGACACCCTCTGAGCTATAGTGTAACGGGCCTTCGTCTCGAGCAGCTGACAGTCATTCAAACGCAACCAAAATATTTGATTAGAGAGTACAGAGATTGCGCGTCAAGCACACTAGAACAACACTAGGGTATAACAAGGCTCCGATTCGTGGAAGGAATAATGGGCGTAAAAGTATATAGAGTGTAGATGCAAAATCATAGATGTCTGTATCGTCAGTTAGAGAATCCATTCAACTAGCAAAAGAGAAAAAGAGTCGGGGCCAAGACCCACTCTGAATTTAAGCGCAAACATCTCCATCCATTCGTCATTTCATCCACAGGGCGACCTGTTTTCCGCGTCTCCAGTACTCGCATGACCCTCGTGATCGTGCTGACGACCCAGTCCATATAAACTTGCGTAGAACTTGCGCCAGTCGATCAAAGAGGTGCACCCTGCTTCTCCTGAAGACTCTGTAGAAGCTTTCGAACATTGCTCAGGTATCACCGCCTCCGCAAAGAACCGATAAATATATCTTGTCGACGCTTCGTTAGTCCAGTGCCCAGAAAGGTGAGCGGATTCGGGTCCCGTCTGTGTAATCATTGGAAGACGGTAATGATCATCATTCTGGCTGTCGTCTGAATCGTTATCAGTATCAGTTTCAGAATCAGCTAATTCATGAGCCATGGTCTGCAGCGTCTGGGGTTCTCCCGGCATATTTTCATCGTCATGATTGTTTTCCCGTATTCGTGTGCTCGATGAGCTATCCTGATCTCGAGACATGGCTGAGGAATTACGATGATCCCAAGATGGAACTCTGCTAGGCAACATTGAGACTCCGAACCGCCGGCCTTGCTCAATCTCGTTATGTAGCTCAGGCGTCAGACGAATGGTATCGGGAGGACTTGGTGCAGCACTTGGCGTTGAACGTGTAGCCCTAGGCGTGGTCATGGCAAGAAGATAATCAGCGACCCTACTTCTGTAACGTATTGCATCTGGGTCTACGGGAGGCGCACGCGCAGTGGAAGTAGAAGTAGGTCTGACAAATGTCCGGGGCGGAATAGGTGATAATGGTACATGAGTGGGAGGAGGAAATATTTTCCTCAAGGCGCTTGTGCAGGGAGTATATCGCATTCCAAGAGGTGATCCACTAGCAAGGGAAGGTACCATTAGCCACCGTGAGGTAGATTACCATTGTCAGACTCACCAAACAGCACAACCGACAACCTCCCTCTTGCACATACAGGCAGTCGAAATCGGGCCAGGACGCCGTCTCGCAAGCTCATCGATACTCATGAATCGTGTATCATGTCCGAGCCCCGTCTCCGTTGCTTCGCCCGGATCATCTTCGTAATGTATAGGTACCACGACACCCTCGACAGGTTCTGAGACAGATGTCCACACCATTACACCATTTTCAGCGTCTTCGCCGCTAACATCTAGCTCTTCTTCATTAAGATGATTAGCGCTACTGCTATGCTGCGCGCGCGTGAGAAAGGCAATAACTTGAGCCGCAGTTGGCGAGTATGTAAAGCTGGAGGGAGGATGTACATGGAGGGAAGCGTCTATGTGCGGAAGTCGTTGCGCCATTACACGATCGTGTACCAAAGTTCTCCCTAAGCTCTGTGGACCGGAGGCACGGGTTTTGCCTTTGAACTCTGTGCATTGAGGGGAAGGATGCGGAAGAGAAGAAAGAGGGAATATGGATGGTCGGAATGGAGTTTGTGAAGAAGGTTCAGCCACTGGTTGATAAGCAGGGGTATCACATTCCCTACAGTATAATTGTAGGTAGTTATCCTCCTCATCTAGTAAATTGCTTGTGTTATTCAAGGCCCGGGGATCTTCATATCTATGCACATTGTCAAGCCTGACCGCACCCCTCCGACGCAGTCGAGATGATTCTCCTGAGCGTAGTAGATCCGAGAGAACGATGGAAGAATCAGTATCCTGGATAGAAGGCGTAGACGAAGGGTGCAGAGACGCGTGAGAGTTGGTACTTGTGTTCAAACGCTGGCGGTAAGTTATTGGCATGGATATACAGTCGATGTCGATAGAGTAGCAATGGGATTCAACCAGAATTATTGTTGTCAGTAGCGTGAAAGCGTGAAGATTCGTAATAGTTGGTATAGATATAGTATGGCTGGCAGGCATGTTAGCAAAGACATTGAACGAAAGACGGACATACATACCAAACGGTCCAATGAGAAAATATGAAGGGAGTCCAAGAGGTTAACCAGGTCTTTGAAGACTATGATAGAAATGTATATGGAAGTAGAACGTCGAAGACGAAGTTCAAACCTCTGAGTAACAGATCACGGACAAGTGACGCAATGGCTTGGTTCCGTTCGGCATCAAAATTCAGAATCCCCAAAACTGATTAGTCGGAGCTCCTCCATAATGCTACTAATCAATATCCAATCGGCGCCGGCGAGTGGCAGGGCCCGCTACCTTGAAAGTTGCAAGGGCCCAATATGCTGCTTGCAAATTCACCTGCGAGAGCTGCTCAGAACTCCGTTCTTCACTCTTCTCGCAGGAAGAGGAGGACAACGTATTGTTATTGTCTACTATTGTCTACTATAGAGGCTTGCAGAGGCTGCAGAGTTAACATCTATAATACAAAATCTGATTGGCTATACAAAGCACAAAGACAGTTCAAATCTGCAAAACTGTATTTTCGGCTAAGGGTTCGAAAGCAGTCAAGAGCACTTCCCAGCAGTGAAAGCACCCAGAGCATGTTGCTTTTGGTGCTTTTGGCACTGGGATCTGCTGGGATCTGCTTGCAGCCCTTAACCAAGTTTTGCAGATTTGAATTATGCACCTGGTGCTTTTTGGCATCTGCTGGACTCTTTTTTTTGTTGCTCACTGAGTTACTGTACAGACAAAGGTAGTGAGTGGGTGGAGCAAAGTGATGCCCCAAGCAGAACTGAGCTGCCTAATGTGCACAGGTCACTGCTAATAGAATGTGAAAGAAACTTCAGTATTGTAGTGAAATTAAATGACTGAAATTGTATGACTAAAACATATGGCAGGACATTTGATGGCAAAATCAAAATGTTGGGGGTATAAGATCCTTCTACTTCTAGAAAGGTAGCAGGAATATGTAATAACTACATCTGCAAAACTTGGATATGATCCTAGCAAATCCTAGTGTGTGTCCAAGTCCATGCCTTGGTACTCCGAGATCTACCATTTATTGTAATCTCTGCTTTATTGTTCTTTCTTGCTACACATTCCCTTTCTACTTAGCCTCTTCCTTCTTATTCTCTTCCCTGAAGACACTATACATATAACTCCTAGTAGTTAGTCTGGTGCTCCGCTCTGATGCACCAATTCGTAGCTATAAATACTCCTGTACTATACTGTAGTTCTTCAGTTTAATTATCATCTGTCGCCCCGGTGACACACCTAAATTTTGGCTAGACATCTATGCAGTGAATTGTGACACTTTCATGCATAGATTTGTATCAAGAGGACTGTAATTGAGACCCAGATTGACAGTCAAAGTCAATACTGAATCAGTCTAATAGTTGAAGGGACCCTATACCCATACTACCACAAGTTGGTCAGTTTACTCATCCCCGATACTACCTTCAGATAAAAGTCTACCTGTTTGTCAAGCAGGATTATACCAGACTCAGACTACATCTGAAGGATAACCATTCACATATGACATACCAAGGGTATTCTTATTGGACCTTACACTGGCAGGAGTTTGGAAGAACTTACTCAAGTGACCATGAGTTGAGGATTGACTCGAAATGACTCTCTAGAACTCAAGAATTGTCAAATACACATTCTAGAATGAGATCATGCATTAATCTAAAAGACTGCAATTTAGTCTAATAGACCAATCAGGTTGCATGGTTGAGGAAAATGACTAGAACAATGATTGAAGTACTGCAAGGCTCCAAAGACATATCAAATGAATGTCAAAGAGTCCTGACGTAGAAAATATTGAAGAATACAATTAAGTGAATACTATGCATAACTCCCTTGATAGAGTATAGGCACAATGGGTGTCTATTGAAAGAGAGAAGTAATTGGTTTAATCCAGATGAATCAGATTGATAGGATTAGAAATGAGGAGAGCTGATTTGCCTCTGGACGAGGTGACAAACAATCAAAAGAAGTGTTGAACAACAATGACAGCTGAACACCATTCAAGTCATTCTCCAAAGCAATTAAATTAAATGAATATTGAAGTACCTACCTATGTTTGGAGGTATACTAGAATCTTGGAACCATTATGGACCAAATAAGGACATGTAGATTCAAATTAAATGATATCTGAACAAATGTAGAAGTTTCCTTGCAGTTCCGAATGTTTATATTATTAAATTAATTGTACTGTGTGACTCTATATCCTGTATGTATAAATAGTGATCCAATGTATCTGGAATACAAGTGATTTTGGGACGACGTTGCAGTGCTAATCCGTAAAAAGGAAAGACACACTCCCGCCAGACTGAAACCTCTTCGCTAGTAGCCATTTGGGCCCAACACTTGTGAGTATAGGAACATCGTGTTCTGCTCCTTGTGACTACGAGAAGTTATATCCAGCTGTTGGGTATTCTTTGAACTTAGGATCAGTCGTTGGTCTTAAGGGCAAATCACACTGTGTGGTTGTGCCAGCACATAGTTCTAGCCCTCTGTAGGGGTCTGTGTGTTTCGGTTTTAATTTACTTTGATTCAAACCCCCAATTCTTGATATACCCATATCAATACCACTAAAACACCAATAGTGCTGAATCTACATTAATCAAAGGAATATACCAAATCCTTAGAACAATTCAAATTGATTGATCAAAGCTTTTACCTGGCTCTCAAAGCTTTGCGGAACCTTTGACAATGCTACCCCTTGTTATTAAATAAATTTGATAGCAGTGAACTCGCATATTGTGTATTAGATTGGTTGGTTGGAGTGCCCATTTGATTCCTTCCTTTCTCTTTTACACAAAAACGAGGCAAGCTTGTTAATGCCGCTAGTCCCCGGAGATTGAGAGTAGAGAAGGAGAGAGCCCGAAGCAGCCAAGTCGGAGCAGCGGTAATGCCGACAATAAGGAGCGAACCAAAGAACTTATAAGTCCTGAGGTTTAGAGTAAGGAGAACGTCAAGGCAACAAGCCTGAATACTTAGAGGACAAGAGAAGAAGATCTAGGATGATATAAGTTGATAATGAAACTGAGGGACTACAGTATAGTACAGGCAATATTTATACCTACAGATCGGCACATTGGAGCGGAGTGCCAGACTAACTACTAGGAGCTATACATGTAGTACCTGCAGGTGTCATGAAGTCTAATTGTCAAGTTCATGCCTCTGGTCTCCATTCCGCCGCTCGGTATTCCGAAGATCTACCTTTTATTGTAATCTCACTTTTATTGTTCTTTCTTGCTACACATACCCTTTTGTTCTAGTCCCTCCTTATTGTCTTTTACTCTACCCTGCAGGTACTACTCATATAGCTCCTAGTAGTTAGTCTAGCGATCCGCACTGGTGCGCCGATCCGTAGATATAAATACTGCCTGTACGCTACTGTAGTTCCTCAGTTTAATTATCAACTTAGATTCCCTCCTTAACTCTGTGCTCCTCTAAGTCTTCAGGCTCATCACCTCGAAGTACTCTCTACTCTACCTTAGGACTTAGACGTCCTCTGGTTCGCTCCTCGTCACCGGCGCTACCGCCGCTCCGACTTGGCTGCTACTTAGCCCCTCCCTCTATACTCTTGATCTCTGGGGACTAACGGCGTAACGGCGGTGTTGTTAATAACTTCACTACTGTCCCACTCGTCTTCCGCACTTAGACACCTTGTGGCTTTGGCATGGTTACACGGTGTACATGAACTTAACAGTATAATTAAACTCAATCCGTTAACATCGTACTGACCTATCATTTTTTATGCCTCCGAAAACTCGAGCTCAATCCAGAGCTAACTCCAAAGAAAACACTTTCTTCACTACAGCCCAATCTTTCGCCCCATTCTCCGAATCTATTTCTGCCATCGGTCAACCACGTCGCCGTAATCGCGGTTTTGGTCCAGCCACTGTCCCTACTACGTCGACTCTTCCTGAAGCCATGGAAGAAGACCAACAATTTGAGTACAGCACCTTGTACACTGGTGACGGACAACCTGTCCAAGTCTTGACCCCTCGCCGAGGACAACCCCCCGTGGTCGCTCCGGCTCGGGGCCGTTCAACTACTCGAATTGAATCTCCCATCCTCCAAGCCATAGCTCGTCGTACTGGTAAACAACCTCAACGTCGTGCTGCTTCAGAATCTCCTCATGACCCGCCTCCTCACTTCAATCTGGACGCTGGTGATCACAATGATCAAGACCCTCCTGTCGACCCCGACGATCCGGGCGCCGACAACAATCATGACAACCTGGATGACGACTCCGGCGGTTTACCGCGTGGTGAGCCTGGTGACCCCAGTGGACCTGGTGGACCTGGTGGTCCCGGTGGTCCCGGCGGTCCTGGTGGACCTAGTGGATCCCGTTCTCCTATCTCTCCTGACATCCCCAACGAGCAACGTGCTATGTTGGAACTCCTCTCGGGATTCAAGGGCTCCATTGAGACCCTTGGTACCGTTCTCGCCGCTCTCGGCCGTCCCTCTGACAGCTCTGAATCCAAGAGCAAGGTCAAGGAGCCCGAGGTATTCGACGGTTCGGATCCCCGAAAACTCAAGACGTTCTTCGTCAATCTCGCCCTGGTCTTCAATGACCGTCCCAAGTACTTCACCGACCAACGGAAGGTGAATTATACTCTCTCTTATCTCAGTGGGTCAGCCAAAGAATGGTTTGTCCCTGATATCCTCGACCCGGATCTCGACTCGCTGCCGGCCTGGACGTCCTCCTTCAAGGCCCTTGTAAAGGAGCTACAGGACAATTTCGGCATTTACGACGCCCAAGGCGAGGCCGAAGATTCTCTCAGTAACCTAAAGATGAAGGAAACCGAGAACATCCAGAAATACAACATCCGGTTCAACACCCTGGCTGCTAGTACCAACTGGGATTCTGCTGCCCTGAAATGGGCTTATGGACGAGGCTTAGCTGAGCGCATCAAGGACGAAATGGCGCGTTTGCCCGAGCCGGCGACGCTCGCCGATTATCGTCAAGAAGTTCTTCGTATTGACAATCATTATTGGAAGCGCAAAGAAACTAGAAAGTGTGAGGCTGGTAAGCCTTTTGTTGCTCGGAACCCGAAGAAGGGTTCCTTGGACTTTAAGACTGGTTCTACTGACCAGCAAAACAACTCTCAGCCATCTGGCTCTTCGGTGCCGTTCACGCCGAAGCCTAAACCTTTCTCTGGTGGTAAGCCTAACAACAATGGTAAGCCCCAGAACTCTT